GGCCCGGGCTGAATTCGAACCCGTCACCTTAGGTGTATGTGGATGGCGCCTTAGCCACTTGAGCCACAGGCGCCGAGCCGGCAATTTAGCTCTTAAGTCAGTGCTTTGGTAAAAACAATCAAACTACATTTTTCTCTCTGCTTTTCCTCCAAGACCATGGACAAATAGGACATTTCCATGACTACATGTGTGGAGATTTTCCTCCATACACCAGACAGTGAACACCGTTTGGGCGTCCTCTAATTCAGTCTGATGCTGTCTACCTGGAGGTGGTCTTAGACCCCAGGGGGTGAGGGCTCAGTCCCCAAACTGCCCCCCATTTCAGACACCGGTGGCAAGTCTAGGCCTTCAAAACTTCTGACTGGCTGGCTTCAGGTTGGGGTTCCCCTGACCTCCTCTTTGGGTTAAGTTAATCTGCTGGAGCAGCTCACAGAACTCAGGAAAACACATAGTTACATTTGTAGGTTTCTTATAAAGGATATAACAAAGGCTATAGATGAAGAGATGGCTGGGGCGAGGCATGGGGAAACGGATGACCCCCCTCCAGAAACTTCCTTATGTTCAGCTCTATCTGGAAGCTCTCTGAGCCTGTCCTCTTGGGTTTTGGGGGACAACCATGTAGAAATGTGATTAGGGTTTAGGGCTGTCTTTGGAAGAAGTTTGAGGTCTTATGCCCCACTATTAGAAAGGAGGGGGAAGATTAGAGCCCTGTCTTAGGGTAGGTGAAGGCCAGACAGATTCTGCTTCTCGAGGCCTGCACATCCAGCACTTTACAACAAAAGACTGTAACATGATCTATGGGAGTTTTAAGCCAGGAACTGTAGACCAAAAATAGTAAGTCGACCACTCAAAGGACTATAACAAACTGGTCACCGCAAGGAACGAGGCCTTCTGCACTGATATGTACATGTGGTGCATGACAGGCTTATGAAAATTAGGTCAACTTAAGGAGGTGGTCAGCTATGGAGGTATGTGTATATATCCTAACACCCGACTCCCTGCTTCCATCTGCGACGTCGTAATTCTCCTTAGGTTCAAAACATGGTGGCCATGTTTGATACTCTTTTCCCTCCCTCAAATTCTGTCACTTACTACTGTGCTTTGTGGTTATTTGAGTGTATTTCTATTTTCCCTGTTATATTTTAAGTTCTTGAGGGACAGAGACTTTTGTCTGTCTCCCTGGGACCTGTCACAGCTCCTAAACAAATGATCTCAGAATGGTTACTTGGCTTGCTGGTGTGGGCTGGTCTGCATCTTGCAACTATCACCTGGCTGAGAAATTACCTCTATAAATAAGCAGTCTCTGTTTCAGGTATAGTTCTCCCGGATATTTATACCACTTCTCTTTCCCCACCCAAACCTCAAACTTCTAAGTTTGAAGTAGAGGTGATATTCAAATCCTTAGCCGCAGCACAAACAGACGGCCCCCATAAGAATCAACTTAGCAAAGTTCTTTTTTCTCGTGGACATTCTAGCTGCGGACACTACATTTGCTGGGGAACCCTCGACGAGATTTTACTTGTCCTTCCACACTGTTCTTTCTGTAGCCTTCTGTGATCATGTTCCAGATGGCTCAGCAGTGTTTCCAAAATGAATATTTTGACAGCTTGCTGCAAGCTTGCAAACCTTGTCACCTTCGATGTTCTAATGCTCCTCCAATTTGTCAGCGTTATTGTAATGCAAGTAAGTAATACCACTTGAATAATTTTTCACTGGTGTGAACTCTTCTCTGTGTATTGACTGCTTATTCAGAAAATCGATGTTACAAGAAAGATGGTGAGGTTTTTCTGAAAAAAAAAAAGGGAAAAGAAACAAAAGGCAGTGATTAAAATGTCTGCAGGAATAAAGTAATTATTCTAGATGAACCCAGTTTTATTCAGCACTGCTAACAACACAGGTTTTTGTCAGTTCTTGTAATTAAGTGGTTCTTAGAATTTACAAGTCAATGCTGATGAATTATGGGGATTGCAGGGCAAAAATCTCTACTTGATGTGAGTATTATGCTATCAGCTCATTATCTCTCTAACATTGTTTTAATGAAGGTGTGACCAATTCAGTGAAAGGAGCGAATGTGATTCTCTGGACTTGTTTGGGCCTGAGCTTGACAGTTTCTTTGGCAGTTTTTGTGCTAATGTTCTTACTAAGGAAGATGAGCTCCGAACCCTCAAAGGATGAATTTAAAAGCACAGGTTGGTTTGACAGTGAATCTTTGACATCTGTTTCCAAGAGGTGGCTGTTGTAAGTTTCAGTTATTATTATTATTATTTTTTAACATTGACTACTTCATTTAGTTACAGACCCTCCGAGCAAGTTAGAGATAGTTACAGTAAGTGAACTTCTTGGTAGGAGCAAGGCATCTTCATCCTGGTGTCCACACCTCTGCAGGTTTCCCACGATGCCAGCTTTCCCCTACATTCTTCCCTTGGTAATTATTGTATTGAGGTTCTGTGGAAACATCTGTGTCTCTCTCTCTCTTTTTTTTTTTTGACAGAGTCTCACTATGTCACCCTGGGTAGAGTGCCGTAGTGTCACAGCTCACAGCAACCTCAAACTCTGGGGCTTAAGCGATTCTCTTGCCTCAGCCTCCCAAGTAGCTGGGACTATAGGCATCTGCCACAATGCCTGGCTATTTTTTTGTTGCAGTTGTCATTGTTGTTTAGCAGGCCCAGCTGGGTTCAAACCCACCAGCCTTGGTGTATGTGGCTGGCGTCCTACCCACTGAGCTACAGGAGCCAACTCAAATATAATTATCTTTATTAAGCAGTAGAGACCCAGTCCCAGAGAAGTGAATGCTCCACTTAAGGATCTCTTAAGATAAAAATATTTTCTGCAGCACCTTTGCCTGTGATCTGATTCCCAACGCGTGGCAGCAGTCGTCCTCTTTCGTTATGCACTGATTTTTCCACGTATAATCTGAGCAGCCACCTCATTTGCCTTCCAATGCAAGAGGAAAGGTAGATGACTGTTCCACACAATTTATTCACTTTTCTTTTCTTTTTCTTCCTCCTGAGGTCTGATAGACAAGTGGAGAGTGAATTTTTTTTACATAAAATAATAATTGTATTTATTTAAGGCATACAACATGTTTTGAGATATATATACCATATAGTTAATGATTACTATAGCCAAGCAAATTAACATATCTATCTTCACATAATTACCCCCTCCTTTTTGTTTTGTGGTGAGAACACCTGAAATCTTAACAAATTGATGGTAGACAATACAGTATTGTTAGCTAAGTCATCCTACTATACATACATCACATCTCTGGATTTATTTATCCTGTATAACTGCAACATTGTATCTTTTGACCAACATTTCCCCTTTCCCCTCACCACCCTACCCCTGAGAACCATCTTTCTACTCTCTGCTTCTATGTATTCAACTTTTTTTTAATTAATTTTTTTTGAGCAGGGGAGGGGGGGCACGGACAGAATCTCACTATGTTACCCTTGGTAGAATGCCATGGTGTCACAGCAAACTTCAACTCCTGGGCTCAAGCAATTCTCTTGCCTCAGCCTCCCAAGTAGCTGGGACTGCAGGTGCCCACCACAACGCCTGGCTGTTTTTCTGTTGTTGTAGTTGTCATTGATGTTTAGCAGGCCCAGGCCAGGTTTGAACTTACCGGCCCTAGTGCATGTGGCTGGCACCCTAACCACTCAGCTATGAGTGCTGAGCCTATTCAGCCTTTTTAGATTCCACATATAAGTGAAATTATGCAGTATTTTTCTTCCTGTGTCTGGTTTATTTTGAGAGTGACTGTAAGTGTGACTTTTGGAAGATGGAGTTACACTGGGGAATGTAAGAAAGCTATAAAACCTACCTGCACAGGCATAGGACAGAGACAATGGAAACTCCTTCCTTATGTGATCACAAGAGATCATTAAAATTTTTTTTCACCTGTTGTAATTCTAAAGTGTTACCTGCAGGCTGACTTTGGTATGCGGTAACATACATTAATTTCTGTCATTTCGACGCATGTATGAGAGGGTCAAGACCTCACACCTGCAAGGGCTAAGGGGGAGGGAACAAACGTGTACAGTGGGCCAGGTGGAGACTTTGGCAACAGGGGAACCCATGTCCTGCCTGAAAGTGACAGCTGTTATTAACTTTATCATTGTTTCCATTTAGGAATGATGGCTCCATGTTTTTAAATAACAAAATGTGGCAACATGGAGCCAGTTCTGTGGTATAGTGGGTAGGGCGCCGGCCTCCTATACCGAGGATGCCAGGTTCAAACCTGGCCCTGGCCAAACTGCAACAAGAAAAAATAGCTGGGCGTTGTAATGGGCGCCTGTAGTCTCAGCTACTTGGGAGGCTGAGGCAAGAGTTGGAGGTTGCTGTGAGCTGTAACGCCATGGTACTCTACCAAGGGAGATAAAATGAGATTCTGTCTCTACAAAAAACAAAACAAAAACAATAACAGGCCAGTTTAGGTCAGGTGGGGTGGCTTATGCCTGTAATCCTAGCACTTTGGGAGGCTGAGGTGGGTGGATCGCTTGAACTCATGAGTTGGAGGCCAGCCTGAGCCAGAGTGAGACCCCATCTCTGACAATAGCTGGATGTTGTGGTGGGCACCCATAGTCCCAGATACTTGGGAGGCTGAGGCAGGGGATCACTTGAACCCAAGAGTTTGAGGTTGCTGTGAGCTGTGATGCCACAGCACTCTACCCAGGGTGACAAAGTGGGGACTCCCTGTCTCAAAACAAAATAAACAAAAAAGTCCAGTTCAATAGAATAAAAAAAAAAAAGACATAAAAACATAAAAAATAGCCCGGTTGTCTACATTTGTTTGTGAAATCTCTTGATTTTTAAATTTAGACCAATACAAAGCAAATACTCTAAAACACTGTACGCCCTCAAACAAACCATGTCTTCAAGCCCAAGTGGACTCTGGTCTGTTAGTTTATGACTTTTAGTATAGGACATTGTTTTTGTTTTTATTTTTTTGAGACAGAGTCTTGCATCTGGTCCCTCGAGTACAGTACAGTGGCGTCATCATAGCTTACTGCAACCTGTAACTCCTGGGCTCAAGTGATCCTCTTGTTTCAGCCTCCCCAGTAGCTGGGACGACAAGCACATGGCACCACGCCCAGCTAATTTCTGTATTTTTAGAAGAGATGGGGTCTTGCTCTTGCTCAGGCTGGTCTTGAGCTCCTGACCTCAAGCAGTTCTCCTGCCTCCGCCTCCCAGAGTGTTAGGATCACAGGTGTGAGCCACCACCCCCAGCCAGGACACACCTTTTATGAAAAGATCTATCTCAAGCTGGGTACAGAGGCAGGTACCTGCAGTCCTAGCTGAGGTAGCTGAGGTAGGAGGACTGCTTGAGGCCTGGGGTTGGAGTCCAGCCTGGGCAACATAGTGAGACACTGTCTCAAAAAAAAAAAAAAAATCTGTGTGGCATTCCTTTGAGTCTTAATGTGCGCTGCTAAGACTATCGTGAAGTTCAGATTATGTTTCTCTGTCTGTATCATTAGGGCCTGCTCTCCTGGACGTGGCTAATGCTGACCCAGACCATCACAAAACTGGTGATGAAATTCTTCTTCCAAGAGGCCTGGGGTACACTGTGGAGGAATGTACCTGTGAGGACTGTGTCAAGAGCAAACCAAAAGTCGATTCTGACCATTTCTTTCCACTCCCAGCCATGGAGGAAGGCGCCACCATTCTTGTCACCACGAAAACAAATGACTATTGTAATAGCCTGTCAGCTGCTTTGGGTGTTATAGAGATAGAGAAATCAATTTCTACCAGATAATTAACCATTTTGACTAATGTAGAGCTACTTTGAAAACCTTTTGTCAGAAGCAAAAGAGCAGGCATCAGATCTCTTTAGGATGACTTATTTTTCAGTTGCTGCTTTTTGTTGTCTAATTCTGAAAGCTGCGTTAGACATATTTTTCTACCTTATTGTTGGGAGCTTATCTGTGGGAACTTCCTCAGTTTTGTGATTAAATTCTTGACTCACTGCTAAGAAAGTATGGCAATCTCTAGATTCCATGGTGACCCATTTCTATGGGTAGAGATGTACTCTCTCCTACACACACACACACATTTCGGGAAAGATTAGATTTTTCTCTTTATTGTTAAAGGAAAGTGAGGTTATCCTCTATGTATTTCTGTAAGTAGCAGAAGCCTAGAATTGGCAGACTAAGCCAGTGTGTAGTACATAGGTGGTTCTTGGCCTTGTGAGCTTCTAGCTCACTGGAAACATCATCCAAGTAGATGTATAATTGCACACTGTGCTAAAGGTGTACTAGATACTGTTTACAGCCCAAATACCGGCGGACAATAATGACCGCAGTTAACACATAGCCTCACTAATGTGTCAGGGACTGTTCTAAATGTTTTATCCGTACTAACTCATATCAAGCAAAAACCTATAAGGTGGGTGGACGTTATTATCTTTATTTTACAGATAAGACGGACACTGAGTCAAAGCAAGGTAACACAGCCAGTAAATGGCTGTCTAGTCCATTTATGCTGATAGAACAGAATACTCAACACTGAGTCGTTTATAAAGAACAGAAACTTATTTTTCTTTTAGAATAGAAATAAAACTTTTATTACACAGTTAAACCACAATGTACATCTGATATACATCTCAGGGATATGCTAAGAGATTGCAAAGACATAAAGAAAAGTCAACATAATTAGTTCTGAAGTAGAAGACTTGTCAACACCATTTATTATACAGTTCACCCTAAATTCACCTGGTAATTGGCAAGGCCATCTGTGTTTTCTAATTGGCTGTATTTAAAGAAAAAATAAACTTTCATGTCTTCATAACAGAAGACAATTTTGGAGCCAGGTGCCTGCTAAAGGCAGGCTCTCACTCTTCTACAAAAACTGTGGGATAGGCACTATTTCTTGACTATTTATATTTTAAAGCAATGGTTGCTCGAGAGTGAAGAACAGATACTTTCTTCACAGTTCTGGAGGCTAGGAAGTCCAAGACCAAAGTGCTGGTATCTGGTGAGGGCCTTGGTGCTTCTGTGGAGGAAAAGTGGAAGAACAACCAAGCTGAATGTTGCGTGAACCCTCTTTCTTTCATAGGGTTCTTTTCCCATTCATAGGGGAGGAACCCTTATGGCCTAATCACCTCTTTGGAGTGGCCATGGCACTCTACCAAGGCCACAACTCTTGATACTAACCCATTGGCAACACCTGAAATTTGGAGGAAATGCATTCAAACCGTAGCAGTGGCAGAACCAGGAATTAAACCTAGATAGTTTACTCTTTTTCTTTATACATCAATTTAATTTTGTTTGAGTCCCTTCCTCAAGGGCTACTATTTTTGTCATTACTGAGGGAAGATTTCCCTCCTAGGGTTGTGCAAAGGTCCTGAGGTCTTATGGAAAGGCAGTAGAACAAGGATGCCTTCTGTTGACTGGTCATCTTAAGATGACTACTGGCACCATGGCATAGAATCTCACATAGGTTTTGTGCATGTTTGGAATATGGGGAACTGTGGTGGGAATTTTTGCTCATTTGGAGCCCCTCAAAGTTCCATTTGGAACCCATATAGCGTCGTGGTTAAGGTATCGATCGGCTCTTGGAGCCAGACTGCCTGGGTTTGAATCCTGCTTCCTGTTACTATGAAACTACAGACCCTAGATGACTATGAGAAAGTTACTTAACTACTCCAGGCCTCAGTTTTCCCGAGGTTAATAATGGTATCTACTTACAAGATTGTTTTAAGGATTATATGAGTTAAGACTTCATATATACACAATTTCTAAAAATACCTGCCTGCTTCATAAATACTTTGAGTTAGTTGCTATCACTGTTACGATGGTCATTTAGTCCCCTTGAGATCTGGCCCCAGACAGCAGGCACCATACTACCTTCCTGTTCTATGGCTCAGAATGTAGTCCCTAGTCTCTCATAGGCCCTCTTTCTCCCCTTACTGCCTAGGACAAACTCTTCAGTGAGTTCAGATTTTTCATTATTTTTTTGAGACAGAGCCTCAAGCTGTCCCCCTGGGTAGAGTGCCGTGACATCACAGCTCACAGCA